GATGGCCTTTACCGTGAGCAATCTTGTGCCCACCGGCACGTTCTCAGGGACAGTCACTTGGTACAAGGGCAAAGAGAAGACTGGCTCGTGGTCATTCACGTCCACCACCGTTACTTGGACACGGGCGGTGCCAGATCGGGGTGGGTCGCCCCCGTCAAGGGCTGTGAGAAGGAGATGGTGAATTGCCTCTTCCTCTCTGTCCAGCGCCCGCTCCAGCACTAATTCTGGGTATTTAGTTCCATCATCTCCAGTCTGCACAACCAGGGAGAAGTGGCTATTGGCGTTGAGCTGGTAGCCCTGGAGAGAGTTCTTCCCCACATCCGCATCTCTAGCCTCATTTAATGGAAACCGCGCCCCTGGAGGTGTGTTCTCCATTATTTTTACATTCATTTCTGTCATCAAGAATTTAGGAGCATTGTCGTTAACATCCACTATTTCCACTTCAACAGGGTAAAGATTCATTTTATCTTCCATGAGAATGTTAAAGTTCACCAGGCACCGCGCGCTCTGAGCGCACAGCTCCTCCCGGTCTATCCTGCCCGCGGTGACCAAGCTGCCGCTTCTGGGGTTCAGAGCAAAGAGCTGCGTCCTACCTCTGGAGACGATGCGGGCTCCGCGCTCTGCCAGCTCCTGGGGCTCCAGACCCAGATCCGCAGCGATATTACCCACAAACGACCCTTTGTCTGTCTCCTCCGGCACAGAGTAGTGAATTTGTCCAGCCCAAGCTTCCCTCAGAGTCCCCAAGAGGATCGAGAGCAGGATGAATCCTCTGTAGTCCCAGCCCCTCCGCGGGGCCGCCATTGTGCTTCTGCGCACCTTGTTTAGATCGTGGGCTACTTGCTGGTACGCTTCTGGGTGCCAGTGTGTCTGCGTGGAGTCTTCTGTATTCGGAAAATGACCCAGAATCACTAGAATCGAGACCTGGACTTGGTACTGCTTAGGAAAGAGTTTGTCTCCAGCTGGCGTTTCTTTGTGCTGTGAGAGGTCGGTGGTTCTGGCGGATCTTTTGCACATTTTCCCCCTAGTAGGGGAACAGCGGCGCTCAGAGTCCTTACTGAGTTACTGCACCATATTGCAGCAGAATAACACATTTTTCAGAAAGTTGTTATATTTTCAGATTTCTCTAGCTCATATCTCTACAATCCATATAGCTCTCAAAGAAACATTTTAAGAAACTTCAAGTTAATGCAACACTGTAAATGGATGGATGTTTTTTAATCCCAGGTATATATTTTTTATATTATCTGCATTGCAACTTTGACTCTTGGGCACTGCCTTACTTTATTGCACAGAGAAATACCAGCAGTTTCAGGTAAAAAAAAATATGATTTCTTTAAACAGGGTGTGTGTATCCATAAGAAAGACATATGTAGAAATTGTTCATATCAGATTACAATAAGTTTACATTCAGTCATATTGAATGCTTACTATATATAGATGCTATCATGGAAGACTCAGAAAGTAAAAATTTCCTTCAAGATATAGATAATTTAACAGTTTTTTATTGTATGGAATCTTAGAAATGATTAAGTTCAATGTTTTCTTTTTTTTTTTAAAGATTTATTTACTTAAGCATACAGAGCTGGGGTACGCCAGAGGTGCAGAGGCGGTGACAGGATTCACCAGAGGCCAACTGATGAAGTACACTGCGGAGGGGAGCAGCAGGCCGGTCAGGAGAGGTCTGCTGTGCCCCATGTGGATCATGTCTGGGGTGGGGATCGAACTCATGCTGAAGTGGCTTTAGCTTCTTAGTGCTGTGCTTTAACCCTCCCACCAGGGAGGACCCTCAATGTTTTCTTTTTAATGATTTTTACAATAAGAGGGAATTGCCTTGTCCTTGATCATATTTAGTAGTAGACCGTATGTCAGAGTACAGATTTCCTCCATCCCAGCCTAGGCAACTGTTACTGACTTTGATATATGCTTTGCGTCAGAAAGTGTCATCTGATATGAGGAGATGAGGTGAGAAGCCAAATACAGCAAAAGTCAGCTATAGAAGTCATTCATTTTGTACAGAAGGTAGAAATTTGCAGAGGTTCTGCTGACCATGGATTAATGAGAAAGTAGGTGTTGACTTGACTGCTTGTTTTCATTATGCATTTCAAAGAATTCTTCTACCTTATTCCAGAATGACTGAGAAAAGGTGGCTCTCTGGATAGTGTTTGAACATGCAGTACTGTCCTGAGAAAACCCTTAGCAGTACTCACTCTCTATAAACATTAATGAATTAAACTTAGTTGCTGATGGATCTGAGGTTACCTTCAACTGGTAAAAATAAGCAAAGTTCCTCCCATATAGTTGCAGGAGAAAAGAGTGACTTGAAAAAAGAAAGAGAGAGAGAGAAAGAGTGACTTGTTCTGGAATAAATACCTGCAAGAAATAGCTTGGCTTTGTAGATTATTTTAAGCCTAAGGGAGTGGGTAGCAGTGTCAGGAGGAGAAACCAGAAGAAACACTGAAAATCTTAGCTTATTTGGTGAAAGATTCCTGAGTAAACAATCTATTTCTGCTCTTTTATGGCACTGCTCCAAAATACAGGGTATACTTTAAGTGAAATGCTGTTCAATTAATCAAAAATAATTCAGTCATTTTCACATTTACTAAGTAGACAAAAGAACTTTTTGATGTAAGTAACCAATATAAGTATTACAGATTAATTCCATAAACAGAAGTTAAGTATTAGTTTTTAAGTAATTTTGAACTTATTGAAGTAAACAAAAGATATGATCTTTAAAGATCATAAGCAATTGTTGACATTTTCAAACAAACCTTTCATCTGTGGATATTATGACTCCCAAATTTGCAATCTTTTTCAATATGATACTTCAACATTCAGTGTTAATTAATCATTTGTTCTATATTTTAAAAATTCTTAACTTACTATTTCTGGGTAACTTCTCTGAAATTAAATAAGTAAAACCTAGAAAAATGAGATTGTAGACATAATTTGAACATAAAGCACACTTTAGGGAGCAAATGGTTGCATTAATTCCAGCAATCAACTTTTCTGTTACTTTACAATGTAAAGTTAAGCATTAACATATTCTTCTAGACTACTGAGATATATTTAAATATAACATAAGCCTATTGTATAAAATCAAAATAATTTTATACTTTAAAAGGGAGTAGTTTATATTATTGATTTATTGTTTGTTATTATTTGTTTACCTGCTTAAAAATTCTATGGAAAGTCTACTTGGCTTTCCAAGCATTGTATTATTTATATTTTCTCCTGTCTTTATGAAAGTATTTTCTATTGAAGAACCCTTTGTTTGGAATTGGGCTTAGGCTTTCCTTCCCAGGCAAAGATGTGGGTATTTTCCAATGATCCCTCTAAGATTTTACTCCTCTCCCTTTGACAATGCCACCTTAACAGAAGTTTGATCCGAAACAGTGGTTTTCACACATGATAAAATAGCCCAACATTGGGTAGGTTCCCCCTGATGCCCCATAGTATAGAATGTGTTTAGAACCACAGACTGCCTGTCTTATTAACAATATCTATATGATATGTAGGTAAAAAAGCTTCATTTTGTCAGAACTTAGAAAATGCCATGACTGCCTGATTCAACACTTGGTCTGTCCACATACATAAATGACTCCTGTGAGAGTACAAGCTAATTTGCTTTCTGTCTTTCTGTAAAGTATCTTATTTGTTTAAGTGAAATGGTCACAGGTAACTGAGATAAGAGAAGGATGTGTCAGCCTAATTATCCCAGATAGTGAACTGACAAAATAAACCAGTCTACTATTTATGAAACTCAGTTAGTGAGCTTTGCTTATAACAGTGGTCAAGACGTAGCTTAAATTGTTCAGAATTATGACATAATGAAATAACATTTACACTCTTAATATATGAAACCAACATAGTATTTGTATAAGATATCATCTGACTCTTAAGACCAACACCAAAGATTCAAAATCTTTCAAATTGTTATTTACTACTAAATTCTGGTTAAGATAATCAAAGAATTATCTAAAAATGTCCAAAAGAATCAGACTTGAAGATACGTATGATTGGAATCTCTTGGTTAGTTACATAAATTTGGAATCTTGATGTAAATTATGACATAGTGCCACAATATTGACTTAGAAAACCTACATAGCCCTTAGCAGCTAATTTGAAGACATCACTTTAATTTTACCTTTACAGAGACTGACAACTTCAGATTACAAAGAAGGTTCTCATTTATTTTCAATATATCTTCTCGTATGTTTTTATGCATGCATGCTAAATTTATATGCACAAGGAGCCACCTATTGTATTATCAATTCATAGAATCCTTCAGCTCAGTATTAGAAAAGACCTTGGCTATCAGTAGTTCAGCAACTCATCAGATTATATTATCTCCTGTATTCCACTTAATTCTAGGGCCATCAACTTACTTACTTTTGAAGAGCACCAATAATAGAATTTCCTACCTATTTAGCAGCCTATTTCCTGGTAGAGAAACTTTGACAACTCAAAACTTTGCTTTTTTCTATTCACCAACCCACTGTTTCATTTAACCCGTTTGGTCAAGATGAATTTGACTAATCATTTTCTTAAATATTTGAATAGAGTTCCCAAGTGACAAAAAATCTTACTTTATCTGGCTTAAACATACTAAATTATTAAAATCCTTATTTAAACATTATCAATCTTTCATTCTCTCATTCACTAGTCAGTTCTTATTTTTGGAAATAAATCCTATAAACCTGTAAGTGGACACTACTGAGCATATTTTAAAATTCACTTTCATTTAAAAATAGTATCAACCACACAAATTGTAGTACATAACTAGTATGCACTTGTATTTATTTGTACATATATACTTATTTGTACTTATGTATAGTAGAGCTTATATCTATTAATAATTATAGTAATCATGCTATCAAAAATGCTTGTTGATTATGCATTTTGAAAAAATAACCCTGCATAAAATTATGTTATTATCTTTCTCAAGAATTTGTGCATGCATGATAACTCAAGTCGTTTTAATTTAAATTGTAATTTAAAGATTAGGTATTGCGACTAACCTGAAATGAATTATAGTACAAAGACTGTTACTCAGGTCTTTTAATGCCAAAGATCAGGTCTTCCCTGGTACAGATGTCAGTTATGCTTGCTTTTATAAAAATTTTTTATTCTTAAGTACTAAAGGGGGGCAGTCACTCACAAATATCCATCATTTAAAAAATGCTTATTATTAAATAGCAAGCATGGGGGTGAGGAGAAACAAAATCTTGATTTCCTGTAACAGGTTGCAATTCCATTTCTTTTCACAGCAGAAAAATCAATTTTCAGAAATGTCATATAAAAGTGACCTTAAGAAACAACATGTATGCAAACTAAGGCACAAAGAGCTTGTCAAGAAGAAAAAAATGAAGAAAATCTAGATCAGACATTAGGATTTGCTCATGATTAGAGAAAAATGAGGTTAAATAGAATTCTATTGATATGAAAGAAAAATGTTCTACAAAAAATTTAAGAAAACTAATGACCAATTAAAGAGAATTTTAAACTTTCCAAATCAAATGAAAAAAATAAAGCCAATAACCTCACCTCAACAAGGGAGTTGTCCTCTTTACAAAAACCTGAATCTTCCTGAATCAGGAGAGGCTCGCTTTTCTCACAGCTCTCCTGGCTGATGAGCGTGTCCGCGTAGTTGGGTTGCGGAAAGATAAGATGACTCTTCCTTGAGTCTGCAGTGAGGGAGACCTCATGCGAGTAGGTCTGCAGGAAAGCCCGCACCCCGTCCACGCCCACAAAGTGCGAGGCAGGGAGATCTGCCAACCCGCCTCCTGAAGCCCGGAGCAGGCGTGACATGTGCCAGCGCCGCAGCCTGAGCGCCATGAGCACGATGACAAAGGCCAGGAAGACGCAGGAGACCACGGCCACTGCCACCACCAGGTACAAGGTCAGGTCGGAATCCTCAGAGTCGGCGGGGGTGCTGATGCTGCCCAGGTCAGCCAGGACGTCTGGGATGCTGTCGGCCACGGCCACGGTGAGCGTGACCGTGGCCGAGAGTGGGGGCTGGCCGTGGTCCTGCACCACCACCACCAGGCTCTGCTTGAGCGCATCTCTGTCCAGCAGGGCGCGCGCAGTGCGCACCTCTCCCGTGTGCAGCCCCACTGAGAAGAGCCCTGGCTCGCTGGCCTTGAGCAGGCGGTAGGACAGCCAGGCGTTCTGGCCCGAGTCCCTGTCCACCGCCACCACCTTGGTCACCAGGTAGCCAGGCTCTGCGGAGCGGGGTGCCAGCTCCACTCCTGTGGATCCATCTGTGGGGGGTGCAGGGTACAGGATCTCAGGTGTGTTGTCGTTCTGGTCCAGCACAAACAGGCTCAGTGACGCATTGCTGCTCAGTGGTGGGTCCCCGCTGTCATGGGCTGTCACTGTTAATTGCAGGTCACGGAACTGCTCATAATTAAAGGAGCGCAGTGCATATAAGACTCCTGTGTCAGAGTTGATGGAGACATAGGAAGATAGAGGTGCACCCTGAATGGTATCTTCAACCAGGGTGTAAGTGACCTGAGCATTTTCATTACTGTCGGGGTCATGTGCAGTCAAGGTAAAGATGGAAGCACCTCTGGGGTTGTTTTCAGGGATGTAGACAGAGTAAGAGGAATGGGAAAAGGCTGGTGGGTTGTCATTGGTGTCTGCTACATTTAGGGTGATGATCATTTCTGTAGACAGAGGTGGCATTCCTTTGTCCATGGCCGTCACAGTGATGTTGTACAAGGGTACCTGCTCTCGATCTAGAACTTTATTGGTCACCAGTCGGTAATAATTGTCTACTGACTTTTCTAGTTGAAATGGCAGACTTCTTGAGATGGAACATGTTACCAGGCCATTCAGTCCTGAGTCTCGATCATGTACTTGAAAAAGAGCTATTACTGTTCCTGGAGGTGTACTTTCAGCAACTGATCTGCTTCCAGAGGTAACTACCACTTCTGGTACATTGTCATTCACATCCAAAATAGTTATTAAGACCTTTGCTCTGTCTTGTAAACCTGGCTGATCCCGGGCTTCAACATCTAGCTCATAAGAGTTTGAGTCCTCATAGTCTAGATTCGCAGAAGTTGATATCTCTCCAGTCAAAACATTCAAACAGAAAATCTTTGAAATCTTTTCTGTTATCTTCACGAAGGAATACGTTACTTCTGCATGGACTCCTTCATCCTGGTCGGTGGCATTTACTGACAGCACTGGTGTACCTACTGGCAGATTTTCGGGAACACTCACGTGGTAGACAGGTTGAGTAAACACTGGAGCATTGTCATTAGCATCTAGAACAGTTACCAGAATCCGTGCCATGCCTGAGCGGACAGGGACACCTCCATCTATGGCAGTAAGGACCAGATGGTGGACGGCCTCTCCCTCCCTATCCAAGGCATGCTCCAGCACCAGCTCTGGATATTTGGGGCCATTGGCTTCGCTTTGCACGTCCACTGAGAAGTGACTGTTTTCACTGAGCTTGAAGCTCTGAAGAGAGTTCATTCCCACATCAGGGTCATAGACTTTTATTAGTGGAAAACGAGAGGACGGGGCTGCATTTTCAGGTATTTTCACCTCTAGTTCTTCCCTTAGGAATACAGGTGCATTGTCATTAATATCCATTATTTCCACTTCTACTGGATAAAGATTCAATTTATCCTCAAAGAGGATGTTAAAACTCACCAAGCACCGCGCGCTCTGAGCGCACAGCTCCTCCCGGTCTACCCTTCCCGCGGTGACTAAGCTGCCGCTTCCCGGGTTCAGAGCAAAAAGCTGCGTCCTACCTCTGGAGACGATGCGGGCTCCGCGCTCCACCAGCTCCTGGGGCTCCAGCCCGAGCTCATTAGCGATGTTACCCACAAAGGAACCTTTGTCCAGCTCTTCGGGAATGGAGTAACGGATGTGGCCGGCCCCACACCCCGACAGTATCCCCAGGAACCAGAAGAGCACCACTAATCCGCTGTGGTGCCGGCGCCTTTGCAGAGCCGCCATTATTGGCTTCTTGTTGACTTTCCTGGAGCTATGAGTAGGGAGAACAGGTTCGCATCGCTTTCAGGCTTCTCCGAATTAGAGGTCGAGGTCCATAAACAAGCAGAGATCAGATGAGATGAGTTTTAGGTCGGAATTTCTGAGCATCTGCAGAGTTTCCGTGTCTGATCTGCTTTGTGCTGGAGTTTTCATTGCTTTCCTTACCCAGTTAGTGAACAGCGACACTTAGAGTCTGAACTTAATACTGCACCATTTGGTGAAACCATCATCCATAGCATCTGATTTCTGCTAAATCTACATACATCACTTGCAATAATATTTCTCTCCCCAAGAATGAGAAGTATTTGGAAGAATAAAGGAGACTATTCTGAATAATTTTAATCCCCCTGAAATCTGCCATTAATTTTTGCGATTATCTTCAAGACTTGGATAACAGAAATAGTATCAAACTTTTCTGTAAAGTTTGAGTCACCACACACCACCATTATTTATACTTGACCCATTGCAATAGACACCAAAAACCACAAACCCATCTGGATCCAACTCATCAGTGCAAGATATAAGTGTTGCCATTTTTTAGATGCGATTATTTACTTGTGTTAACATAGACAAAGAAATGTTCTAATTTAGCCAATAATTAGTGTATACCTATAAAATTCAGAGGAAGTGAAAATATACAAGCAACACGAAAAACACATATTCTATCCAAAACATGGTTTAAGACGGACTGCATTGAAACTCTTAATCATGTAATTTGCATTTAAGTATATAAAGATATGGCTCACAATGAGAGTCTGAGATACTAATGTATTAAAATGTTTTCAGGGTAAATTGTTTTAGGCTTAACAATATTTTCAAGAATATCACGAAGTGACTTTCTATAAAAGCCAAGTGCAGCACAGATAACTGAGCAAAGAATTTCTAACACACCTGTTATAGGCCCAAAAAAATTAATAAAACACAGAAATGTATGGACATAATTAGTCTGTATACTATTTTACCTCTAAAATGATTAATTGAAACTAAATTATACTTATTGGAAGAAAGGATTTTGAAGTAACTCACCTGTTGCAAATTGACTGAAGTGGAAGTTATTTTGGGATTGGCATTGCTGGTACTTTCAAACCAAGATGCTTCATCACATAGAAGATCCTGAGGTGGGGCATTTTCGGGCTTTATATTGAGAAATTTAAACTCGGTCTTGGAGGAATGCGAAGTAGCACACAGATTGTAGGAGTAAGGTAAAGTCCCTTCACCATAGTTGGGGAGAACCACAGTTGCGGGCTTGGAACACACACCAGACTGAAAGCAGCTCCAGCGGTTGAGGCTGGAGCGTCTCAGGCTCAAGGCAGCCGCCAGAATGACCGCCAGCAGGAAGAGCACCGAGATCAAGGCCAAGGCCAGCACCAGGTAAAACTGCAGCTCGGCCTGGGGGTCTGAGGGCTCAGGCCGGTCACCGAGGTCTGGCAGAGCCTCCTGCAGGCTGTCTGCGAAGACCAGGTGCAGCGTGGCCGTGGCCGACAGGGGAGGCTGGCCCCCGTCGCGCACGGCCACCAGCAGGCGCTGTCTGGCCGCGTCCCTGTCGCCCAGCGCCCGCGCGGTGCGCACCTCGCCGGTCCGCAGCCCCAGGCTGAAGAGCCCGGGCTCGCTGGCCTGCAGCACGTGGTAGGACAGCCAGGCATTGTGTCCAGAGTCAGCGTCCACCGCCACCACCTTGGTGACCAGGTAGCCGGGCTGCGCGGCGCGCGGCACCGTGTCGAAGAGCGCGGAGCCGTCGGGGCCCAGCGCGGGGTAGAGCACGGTGGGCGCGTTGTCGTTGCGGTCGCCCACCAGCACGCGCAGGCTGGCGTTGGTGCTGAGCGCGGGCGCGCCCTGGTCGCGGGCCTGCACGGTCAGCTCGAAGGTGCGCAGCTGCTCGTGGTCGAAGGCGCGCTGCGCGAACACCACCCCGCTGTGCGCGTTCACGGACACGTAGGACGACAGCGCCTGAGGCCCCAGGTCGCTGCCCACGATGGAGTAGGAGACGTGGCCGTTGGGTCCCAGGTCGGGGTCGGAGGCACTGACTTGGGCGATAGAGATCCCGGGGGGGTTGTTCTCTGCCACGTGAACCACGTAGGAGGTCTGATGGAAAACCGGCCAGTTGTCATTGACATCACCAACATTTAAAGTGATACTTTTGTTGGAGTATAGGGGAGGCCTGCCTCTGTCGGTGGCTATGATGGTGAGATTGTATTCTGGAATTTGCTCTCGATCTAGGGTTCCATCAGTCACTAATTTGTATGTGTTTTTTGTATCTTGAACTATTTTAAATGGGGAGTTTCCACTGAGTTGGCATAGGATTTCCCCATTAAGTCCAGAATCTCGATCATGTGTTTTGATCAGGGCAACAACTGTTCCCAGTTTGACATCTTCTTGTATATATTTAGATTCAGAATCCAGGGTTATTTCAGGAGCATTGTCATTTTCATCCAAAATATCAATCTGTATTTTACAGTGTGCAGTATGACGCCCACCATCTTTTGCTTCCACCCCAATTGTGTAGCTCTCTCTCTCTTCAAAGTCTAGTCCTCCAGCAGTAGTGAGTTCCCCTGTTTTTCTGTCCAGCTTGAACAATTCCCTCACTTCCTTATCAATATTAATGAAAGCATAGGTGATCTCAGCATTGATGCCCTCATCTGAGTCAGTGGCAGTCACTTTTAGCACAGAGGAGCCCAAGGGCAGATTTTCTGCAACACTGACCCTGTACACATCCTGGGTAAACACTGGGGTGTTGTCATTTGCATCTGCCACAACTACCACGATCTGCGTGGTGCAGCTTCTGGCAGGCTCGCCCCCATCCACAGCCGTGAGGAGCAGGTGGTAGAGGGACTGCTCCTCCCTGTCCAGAGGAGCCTTCACTACCAGTTCTGGGTACCTACTGCCATCTGGATTCTCCTTCTGGAGCAAAGAGAAGTGTGGGTCTGGGCTGAGGTAATACTGCTGCAGGGAATTGACACCTACATCTGAATCCTGAGCGGATTCCAAGGCAAAGGTGGCTCCAGGTAGGGCCATTTCACTGATTTCCAGCTCAGTAATATTTCTGCTAAAGCTCGGTGAGTTGTCGTTGACATCCTGAATGACCACAGTTATATGAAAAAAGTTCAAAGGCTTTTCAGCTACCACTTCAAATTCCAGAACACACGTTGACTTCTTGCCACAAATCTGCTCTCGGTCTATACGGTCGCTCACAAGTAAGTCCCCATTCTCGGGGCTTACGGTAAAGAATTTCTTCTCTGAACTAATCCGCAGCTTCCGAGCAGGCAAATCTCCCATACTAAGCCCCAGATCCTTAGCGAGGTTCCCCACCAGCGAATCCCTGGCCAGCTCCTCAGGAATAGAGTAGCGGATCTGCTCCGAGAGCGCGCGGCAGAACAAAGACAGCAGCAGGTAGAGAAGCAACATTTGCCTCCGCCCCGCCCGGCCCTTGGTTCCCAAGCGATTTCCCATCCCGCTCTCCACGCCTTTACCTTTCTGATTCCAAAGAGCTGAAATCGCTAAATGATCCCAAGAATTCTTTGGCAGGAGGGATTCTGATTTGTCTTGATGAGCGTGTTCTTTGATAGATATATCTGCTGTAGGGAGCAGGAGAGTGCACAACTCTCATTTCCCTGGTCGCGGGGCTACTCCTTCGCAGTGGGAAGACTGGTACTTCGCTCAGAACTAGCCAACAGCGGCACCCCGCGCCTCGGTGCAGAACTGCAGTCGTGGTTACTAAATCAGTTCCAGCTAAGGAGCAGGCTAGAGAAAATTCTAGTGTTCAGATGTAGATTCTCATTCTTCCCACTTTACCAGGATAATAACATTCTAAAGTTGACCATCTTTTGTTTCTGGCTGTCATTTCTTTGAATTTGAACTTCATCCATCCAAATCAATCATCTTTTACTTGTAAAAAGAACGGAGATCCTTTGAAGATTTTTGTTGGCATCCTCATGCTTTTAGTTTCCATTTTCATACAACGGCCTTAATTACATCTTACTACATTCCTTAGTAGATTTGAGACCCAATAAAATAGTTTATAGAAAATTATATGAACAAAAGGTAGTAGTGGCACAGGGTGTGATATGAAAATTCTTGAAAGTATCAGCTTGGTGTGCATTATTATTCCCCCCTATTTCCTTTTCTTCTTATTTATAAAAGTTATAAGTATAATAGCTTTTGGCTTTATCCTATGTTTCATTTTCTCTCATCTCCACAAATAACTGATATGTAAGCAAGGAGGCCAACTGTTCTTATGAAACAGTAATATGGCTAGAAGCAACAGTCTCTTTCCTCCTTGGCTTCTAAAGTCTCTGCTTCATGTTAAATGACTATGATTTTAAAACTGTTTCACTAATTTTATTTTCCCATTTCACTAGTTTTATTTTATCTCCCCATACTACCTTGACATTATTTTTAATTGTACTGTTTCTTTTCAAGTGGCTTAACAATGGTAGGTTATTTGGATTTGGGAGTAAAGTATGAGTTCTTATAACACTCCAAAGTAAGTAAGCTGTTTATGTTTTTCCATGATTTAGAAGTTACTATCTGACCACCCTTTTTGTTATTGACACTTTTCCCTTGTCAACAAGCATGCTGATTTTCATATTCCTATGGGTGGTTTACAGTTTAAATTCCATTCCCAAACTAGGAATCTTCCTGAAGAAATTATTTTTTAAACTGTATTTATTTATGCATACAGGACTGGGTACAAGCCAGAAGTGTAGGGGTGGTGAGAGGGTTCACCAGAAAGAGAGTGGGGAGCATAACAGGCGGATCTATGAAGTACACTGCTGGGGGAGCAGCGGGCGGGTCCGGAGAGGTCTGCCATGCCATGTGGGTCACCTCCAGGGCCGGGGATCAAACTCACACTGAAGTGGCTGCAGCTAGCTTGCAGTGCTGCTTCCTAACTCAATGCTCCACCAGGGAGGGCCCAAGAAATTATTTTTTAACCCACATGATAAACGTGTTTAGTCTAAGATTTGGCGGGTTTATAGCAACATTAAACTCATAGCGGAATAGCATAAGAGCATTTTACATTGCTCATTGTACTCAAGACTCTAGACAGAAATTGAGTGGCATCTCAACTGTATACAAATATAAAGACAACCACAACTGACTCAAGAAATCCTCCAGAACATGACTGAACAAATGACTTTCCACCACAGTGTGAACACCTCAGTTAGTACAGCAATGTTATCTTTTCAGAGTGCATGTGGAGTGGAAGATTCAAATATTTAAAAGAATATATCTACTCAGAATGTGTGGATCAAGCATTTCATCATAAAATCTACCGAGGCTTATTGTGGTTTAAAAGGTACGTTTACATTGCATGAAAAAGTTAACTCAGAACACATACTTGAGTAGACAACCTTTTCTTGAAAAATAGTAGAAAAGTCTATTTTCATGAAGGGGTGAATGATGTCAGTCTCTACCACACAGGTTACCTAGTTAGTCTTTGGGCATATTCATATTTCAGTGTATCTATACATTTAACTGAGGTCAAAATTGACTATATACCTATAAGTGTATCCCCTTGAAAGAAATTATTGAAAAATACAAATTAAGTTAACTTAGGTTCTCAAGTGTATCACTACACCTTTCAACAGTAATATAATGCATTTTAATAATAATATTTTATTGCCATTTCCTCACCTATTCATATTGCAGCTGATGTCCCACAAAACTGGAAGGGTTGAAAAATCCTTTTAAAAGAAGCATTTGAAGATCAGAATCCAAAATGAAGAGGGTAGTCCTTCCATTACACAAAACATACCTGTGCAATTTGAGATGGACAGCCCAGCAATTCACTAGGAAAAACATCTATTAATTTAAGGTCAGCCCATCCCTGAGAGATAAATTTTGAAAGTTCAAACATTTTAAGGTTTGATTTGCCAAATGCAAATCTTGGATTCTGATTATAAAGAATTGAAGCCCCAATTTCAGAAATGCAAACATTTGGGCAGATATTGATTCTAAAAAGTGAAGGGGGCCATCTGTAATTGGACAATGTCAGTGTATGTTGTTTATATTTAATGAATGTAGTGGTATCTAGTCATGATGCTTTGAACTGCATCACAAAATAGAGCACACTTCTAAGGTGCCTTCTCATTGATTCTTCTCTCAAAATATTTACATGTCTGACAATTAATGGTTTCACCCAAACATCCAGATTTTAAAATGCACAGACATTATCATTGCTATTGTATTAGGACCTGTTTTTCAGATAATTATCATGCAGAAGCTCTCTGTATTCCATCAATTTATGCTAATGACATATATTATTTATTATGTAAAAATGGGTACACTAAATATCAATGCTACACAATATCCTTTCCAAAACATTTGCTATTGGTATAAGGCAAGTATAGAAAAGACAGTATTGCATCTGACAATTTAAACTAATCAAACAACTCTTCCATAAATATAACAACAGTCCTAGTGTAAGAACGCCTTTGGATACCATGGTTAAGTTTAACCACTTTCTTTAAAGTACTTGTTTCACCTAAGTGCAAGGATTTTCCATATGCATGTATTGAAAGAGAAGATATTAAATACAAAATATGATTTGGAAACAGATAGTAAAAGAACCAGTTATTAAATCAAGTTACTTTATAAATGAAGCAAATAATGATTCTCTATTTACATAATTAACCAATTTTTAATGTGGCAGCAAAATTATTGAAGAAACAAACAGAATAAATATTCCAAACATCCCTACTAAAAAAGAAAACTCACCTGAATAACTCCTAGTTCTTCGTTTGCATTTATCTTCTCTGGAATCAGGAGAGGCTCGCTTTTCTCACAGCTCTCCTGGCTGATGAGCGTGTCCGCGTAGTTGGGTTGCGGAAAGATAAGATGACTCTTCCTTGAGTCTGCAGTGAGGGAGACCTCATGCGAGTAGGTCTGCAGGAAAGCCCGCACCCCGTCCACGCCCACAAAGTGCGAGGCAGGGAGATCTGCCAACCCGCCTCCTGAAGCCCGGAGCAGGCGTGACATGTGCCAGCGCCGCAGCCTGAGCGCCATGAGCACGATGACAAAGGCCAGGAAGACGCAGGAGACCACGGCCACCGCCACCACCAGGTACAAGGTCAGGTCGGAATCCTCAGAGTCGGCGGGGGTGCTGATGCTGCCCAGGTCAGCCAGGACGTCTGGGATGCTGTCGGCCACGGCCACGGTGAGCGTGACCGTGGCCGAGAGGGGGGGCTGGCCGTGGTCCTGCACCACCACCACCAGGCTCTGCTTGAGCGCATCTCTGTCCAGCAGGGCGCGCGCAGTGCGCACCTCGCCCGTGTGCAGCCCCACTGAGAAGAGCCCTGGCTCGCTGGCCTTGAGCAGGCGGTAGGACAGCCAGGCGTTCTGGCCCGAGTCCCTGTCCACCGCCACCACCTTGGTCACCAGGTAGCCAGGCTCTGCGGAGCGGGGTGCCAGCTCCACGCCTGTGGAACCATCTGTGGGGAGGGCAGGGTACAGGATCTCAGGTGTGTTGTCGTTCTGGTCCAGCACAAACAGGCTCAGTGACACGTTGCTGCTGAGTGGAGGGTCCCCACTGTCACTGGCTATCACCAGTAGTTGCATCTCTCTAACCTGTTCATAGTCAAAAGAGCGCAGGGCATAGAGGACACCAGTATCAGAATTGACAGAGACATAAGAGGACACAGACGTTCCCTGGAACGTGTCCTCAGCCAGAGAGTAAGTGACCTGAGCATTGTTGCCACTGTCAGGGTCATTGGCAGCCACTGAGAAGATCAATATGCCTCTGGGGTTGTTTTCTGGGATGTAGGTGGAGTAGGAGGTGTGAGGGAAGAGGGGAGGGTTGTCATTGATGTCTGCCACTTTCAGGGAGATAATGTTTTCTGTTGAAAGGGGTGGGTTTCCACGGTCAGTCACAGTTACTGTGATATTATAATCTGAGATCTCTTCCCTGTCCAGGGCTCTTGTTGTCAGTAAATGGTAGTAATTTTCAACGGACTTTTCCAATTTAAAAGGCAAGTTCTTGGGGATAGAGCATGCAGTTTCACCATTCTCTCCAGAATCACTATCGTGTATGCTCAACAATGCGATTACAGTCCCAGGAAGGCTGTCTTCAGAGATGGAACTGGCCAGAGAAGTCAGGATTACCTCGGGAACATTGTCATTTACATCCTGTACTGTGACCAGCACTTTTGCGCTAGTCAGAAGAGCACCTCCATCCTGAGCTACCACTTCCATGAGGTAGGATCTCGATTCTTCATAATCCAGCGATTGCACCGTAGAGATTTCACCAAGGTTGGAATCAAGTTTGAAAGTCTCTGAAATTTTGTCTTCTTCATTACGAAAAGAATATGTCAATTTCCCATTTATTCCCTCATCTGGATCTGTGGCGGTTAGTGTGAGCAGCCGAGTGCCTACAGGTATGTTCTCTGGAACGTTTACTTTGTACTCCGACTGAGTGAACAGGGGCGCATTATCATTTGCATCGAGCACTATCACGCGGATGTGCGTAGTACCAGACAGAATGGGGTCTCCACCGTCTAAAGCTGTGAGGAGGAGGTCATGAACAGCCACTTTCTCCCGATCTACGGGCCATTCCAATACCAGCTCTGGGTATTTTTGTCCATCAGTTCCACTTTTCTCACCCAGAGAGAAGTGCCTATTGGAGCTGAGCTGGTAACTCTGGAGGGAGTTCACACCCACATCTGCATCTCGAGCGAATGGAAGCACTAACCGTGTTCCTGTAGCCGCATTTTCATTAACTTTTACTTTTACTTCCTCATCCCGGAAGCGTGGGAAGTTATCATTAATATCGATTATTTCTACTTCTATTCCATAAATTTTCATTTTTTTCTCAACCAATATATTAAAACTCACCAGGCACCGCGCGCTCTGAGCGCACAGCTCCTCCCGGTCTATCCTGCCCGCGGTGACCAAGCTGCCGCTCCCCGGGTTCAAAGCAAAAAGCTGCGTCCTACCTCTGGAGACGATGCGGGCTCCGCGCTCCGCCAGTTCCCAGGATTCCAAGCCCAGATCCTTAGCGACATTACCCACGAAGGAGCCTTTGTCCAGCTCCTCAGGCACGGAGTAGCGAATCTGCCCTCCCCTCGCCCCCCACAGAGTCCCCATCAGCACAAAGAGCAGGCGCAGCTCTCTGCAACTCCAACTCCTGGGTGGATCCGCCATTTCCTTTTCGGTGCCCGATTTGCTTCTAATCCTGTTCCAGTCTGCTGGTTCCTTATTTTCCAAAGTCCAGGGGAACGTATTCCCTGGTGGAAATGGGGATGGCGCGGGAGAGCAGCTTTTCCAAAGAGCTTGTCTTCTGGTCTGTGTGTTAAGTGCTCAAGGAGCAGAGTCAGATCCCTTCAGCCTCAATTTCTTTCCCCACTTGGGTGAACAGCGACGCTCAGAGTCCTATCCAGTTACTACACCTATTCTGTTTTTATTTCATAAATGTTTGATGGTATTTTATTTCTAACAAATTTGCTGTGCCCTGAATGTATTGATGTTAGATATTTTTATACTTAATTAAGCCTTAATTCTGAAATAGCAAAAGACTTCCACAAACCCTGACATCAGTATAATTTTAGATTATTTTTCACTGCTTTAAAAAATGATATTAAATGTACAATTGAATCTATATCTTTTATTTATCTCACCCAGGCACAATAACATATTCAGATACTTATCATTGGATAGGTAGTGAGTGATATTTCTATGGTGAGACAAATATTTAATGTTTTCACCTTCATATGGAAAGGAAAAACTCTCATCACTAAAAAAATTACCATTTCAGAAAAAGCACTGAAAGAAGCAACTTTAAATCCATAGGGAATGAAGACACACTACATGTATAAGATAATAAATAAAAAATAAAGACTTAAGTAAATAATTTAAGATAGGTTGCAAACGTTTCTCAGAAGACCAATTTGTTACTATGCATGGGAGAGAACGATATCTTCCATTTCTTAAACAAACTTTTGATATCAGACACCTCAGGCCCCAATTTTTCCCATCCTTAAAAAATAGATATGGGGTCCTAAGACAGTTAGCTTGTAAAGATATTTAGAGTGCTTGGCCTCAGTCCTGTACCTGCTCTGTGCTTGCGTAGCATTTGGGTGAAATATTTCCTTTCTCTGGCTTTCACTTTCCCCAAGTCAGGGAGGTTGAGGGTCCTCTTTGCCCTAAAGTTCTACCATTCTAGGAGGAAGTACATCTAAATTTTGAATAATAATGACCTGGAAAATAGGAATAGCTTCAGGCCCCTGTAGTAACAAATCTTCAGAGGAAAGAGATATAAAGATGAGGAAGAAAGAGTAATATCTCAAGTAGCAAAGGCTTGTAATTATAGCCAAATCTCACATGTCAGAAAAACTATATCAAACATTTGGTTTGATAAGCTTATAACAACTAAGACACAAAACTGCCCACAACAAAATATGAAATGCAGACTCCTATCCCAAGTAGGTAGTTTGCTAAGAGACATTAAACTCCAAAGTGCAAATAAGTGAATTAAACAAAGCTCACCTTCAACACAGCATCAGAGGGAAATGGGACCTCAGCATCTCCATGATTTGTACCTGGTACCCAAGAGGCATCTTCACAGAGTAGATCCTGAGGTTGAGCCACTTCTGGGGTCACATTGAGAAAATTAAACTCTGTTTTAGCTGATTGTGAGGCAACACACAGATTGTAGGAATAAGGCAAAGTTCCTTCCATGTAGTTGGGGGGAACCACCGGCCCAGACTTGACACAGAGACCAGGCTGAAAGCAGCTCCCCCA